CTGCTAGAGTATACAGACCAAGGCGAGACCACGCGCACGATCGTCGGCAGCTGCAGAGGGGTATCAGAGACAGGAGCTGTAAAGGTGTATGGTGGTTCTTACGGCGTTCGTCTTTTTGCAGTATAACAACGCGGCAACTTGTCCTTGTGGCCGAAAAAGTTGGTCCTGCGAGGGTCAGTCAATCTCGGGAAAAAAAAGGGAAAACAAGCAAAGAACGCCGGGAACACCGAGGTTCTATCTAAAAGAAAAGAAAAGAATAACAGAAACAGAGAGCAGTTGTAGAATGGTAAGCACAGTGTGGAGTGTGGAGGTGAAGTGATTCAAGTGGAGGTTAGAATGGGAAGTTCGAGATGATGAAAGGAGAGAGCTCGATCATGTAACCGGAGTTGGAGTCCGAGATGCAGTCCATCCTGATGGCATCCTGTAACCAGCAATGCCAAGTGCTAACCTGTTTTGAGCTTCATTTGACAATTTACCGGATGTGATCTTAGTCACCCACCGTGGATCCAGATTGGCCAGGCCGAATGAGTATACCTTTCTGTCAATATCTGGTGGCCTTTCTTCGAACTTCATGACGTTTCGGATAAAGGCGGGAACTGGTTGCTCAGTATTTTGGCCACTAGCTGAAGGGACATGGCCCCTGATGAGCACATAGAAAAAGATGTAGAACATCCAGTTGCCCAACTTTGAGGGTTGGAAGTCTGACCTCTGACTTCTCAAAGCCTGCTCGCTGACTGCCTGGGTGGTCTTCGTAGGGTCAGGTCAAGACTTTCAGGGAGTAGAAACCAAAAGACAGCATCAAAGAACTTCGTGCCGGTGACCAATGCCTTCGGAATAGTCATTGGGACACAAAGAGTGGCAGACTTCCCGGGGGGGAAGGGAATGGAAAATGCTACTCTTCTACCAGTCAGCACTGCCTGGGACGGAATGAACGGAGCCGCGCAGCCTTACTAGTATTCGCTGTGATTTGACTGGTTCTACAGCCTTGGGTGTATCATTGACGATGGTAATACCTTTTGCTCTGCGACATTCTGAAAGGAAGTCCTGGGTTGTGCAGTCGACTTGGAGGATTCTTTCTGAGGATCCCTGGTTTGAACCTCAGGCTCAGGCGGTGCAGTCCATTCGGCGGAAGTATATAGGGCCTGCTCTTGAAACTAGCCGGCGCACCAGTGTATATTGTCGGTACTCATCGTATTCATCACGAGGATCACTCTCTGAATGTACTTGCAGGAGAGCAGAAGACGTGTTTCACAGGCTTAAAGGAGTTGCGCTGAGCCACAGGCTTATAGCAGCCTCACTGCGACGGACGACTCGGACCATCTGGATTCAATCACGAAACTGGGCAGGCGCTGGTTGTCTGGTTTGATCCTGGTATTAGGCTCCTTTCAAGACCTAGGCTTGGTTGGTGGTTGTAAATGGAAAAAGGTAATGGCTGTAGTAGTCAAAAATCCGACATCCACAAGTCGGGCTTTGCGTCCCATATTCAAACGACTCCAGCCGATCCGTTTGCGGTAGTCAGTCAAACGCCATAAGGGATTCCCGGCTCGACTTTGTTGAGGGTCATATTGATGCCCTGATGAGATTTATGCTGGAGTGGTATCTGTCCAAGCTTGGACGTGAGGCCCATATCCCAAGCATCAACCAGGCCATGGTCATCAGCTTCATTCAAGCTCTTGATCGCTCGTTCCAAGTAGGCGGTTATCTGAACAATCGAGTCAAGAAACAGCCAAAAGTTGTTTCGGCGTAGACATATTGTCTGCCTCAAAGTCATTGTAATCAGCTATAGATGCATCTGTAGTCGTCCATGTACTTGCACGATTGAAAAAGAATGCAGACAACTCAGAATCTTCTATATGGAAGAGAGGTGGTAGAATGTCAGGAAGATGAGAAATCATAGGGGAGAAGCATCTTTATATACCACCAGCCTGCCAGTTCCTTGACATTCTGTGAAGCTGCAATCAAAGAACTAGTGAATGGCAAGATGCCTCTTGCTTCACTAACAGGTATTTCTGTGACTGGTTCTGAGCTGCCGCGAGAACTGTGTGAATATAAAAAAGAGCCAGCTCCTTTCTTTGACAGGACATTGACAGTGAGGACTGCTGATAAAGGATGTCAGTAATCATGATTGCTTATACGGTAAGTAGATCAGCAGCATTCTAATGTGTCACTTCATAGACATGCAAATCATGATTTCATTAAGCTGCATTGAGAATATAACCTCTGACCTCTTTGCAGATAGTACTAAACCAATCTTCTACAACCTTATGTTTGATATCAAAGAAGTAGAGGCCATCCTCATTATTGCTTATGTCTATACGAAAGTCAGATGATGTTCCTTTTCTCGATTGCAGCAATCCTACCTTTTTCTCTCCCTGCATTATCAATCTTTGTCAAGCCCAATTTCAAATATCGCGTCAATAAGATAGCCAGCTGACGAATAAGTCGAGAGAAAGAAAGAAATCTACAAATGGATACCAAGTTAGTATCAAGATTCCAATGGATAAGAGATAAAGCCGACGATAGCCTGATAAGCGATACCCAAACGGGAAAATCTCCAAGAAATGGAACTGGCCGTTGACCACACAATGTAACGCTAGAAAGTGGGGAGAGAGAGAGGGGAACCAACAACATGGCAGTTTATTTTTATTGTTCTGATTCTCATCCCAAGTCCTGACTGTCGCAGTGGTCTGCTCGAAATTCCAGTCTTAGCAGCCAAAGATGGGTGCAACCGACGTGCCACAGGCCCAAGCGGTCACAGTGAGTCTCCAGGAGCTTGTCAACGGTGGGTTGATCAATCAATGAGCGTCTTGCAAAGAAAGCTGCAGTTTCAGCATGACGAATACTGAAGCTGATACTCATTCTTCATGGACTTTAGGCACGATCTCTTTCGAAACCCTGACGGAAGCCTTTGGCCCATCCTCGCTGGGAATCATCGTCGTCAAAGACCTGGACCCGGCATTTGCTCGCCTCCGCGCCCAAGTCCTCTCCAACGCTTCCTACCTCGCTGCGCTTCCAAACGATGAACTAGGTTCGTCCGACTTGCGCCCTCGTACCTATATGCTCAAACTGATAGGCAGTAGAATCCCTCACCAGCCCCGCAGCCAAATACCTCGTCGGCTGGTCCTGCGGCAAAGAAACCCTCCGGTCCGGCCACTTCGACACCCTCAAGGGCTCCTACTACGTGAACTGCGCCTTCTACCAGAACCCCGACCTCCAAGGTGCTCCCGCAGACAACTTCCCCGATCTCTCCGAATACACAGCCCCCAACATCTGGCCGCCAGCAGACCGTCTCCCGACCTTCCGCCGCAGCCTCGAGGAGCTCTGCACGCTCATAATCGACACGGCCGCGCTCGTCGCGCGCGCCTGCGACCGCTACGCCCTCGCCAATATCGACGGCTACAAGGCGGGGTACCTCGAGCACGTGGTGAAGACCAGCCTGACGACCAAGGCCAGGCTGCTGCATTACTTTCCGACCGACCCTACCGCTACCGCCGACGCAGAAGACGATGATGACTGGTGCGCGACGCACCTCGACCACGGCTGTCTCACCGGTCTGACGTCCGCCATGTTCATCGATGAGGCGGCCAGTCCCCCTTCGTTGACGGATGCCTCGGCGCCGCTGGCGGAACTGCCCCAGTCGCCAGACCCCAAGGCGGGCCTGTACATCCAGTCCCGCACGGGTCAGGTCGTCAAGGTGAATATCCCCAAGGACTGTCTCGCTTTCCAGACCGGGGAGGCGCTGCAGCTCATCACGCGGGGAAAGTTCCGGGCTGTGCCGCATTTCGTGAAGGGGGCGAGGCCGTCGGGAGGAGCGAGGATCGCTCGCAATACGTTGGCGGTGTTTACACAGCCGAATCTTGAGGAGGAGGTGGAGCCTGGGAAGAGCTTTGCGGAGTTTGCGAGGGAGGTGGTGAGTAGGACTTATTAGTGTATATACAAGCGTTTTGGTTGCCGGTCACAAGATTGACTGGTGCAAAGGTACATAAGGTAGCAGGTGTTATATACCGTATTCATGACGAGTCAAGGCCGACAGGCCGTTATTTGTTACAGTCTCAAGCTATCAACGAAAGAGCAAAACCTATGGGTATCAGTGGCATCAGAGATCATGCTTTGGCCGCTTCGCCGTATGCTCATCGTTCCCAGGCGCGTAGTCTCCACCTTCCGTCTCCTCAGTCCCTCCTCGTAGGTCCTCCAAACGCAGAGTGAAATCCTCTTCCTCCTCCGACCCTCCCTCCCCTTCGTCTTCAGTGTTCAGTCGAGTCTGGATATTGCTCTCGTCCGCCGAGCTGACATTGTTGCTCATATCCGTAATGGCCGCCCCCAGACCAGCACTAACCAGCTTGCTTGTCTTGCGCACCTCTGCAAACGCCGATCGCGATTTGTGGCTCGGCCGTCCGAGCTCGCCGGGAATCTTGGCCTCTCTGAAATCAGCGGCAGTGGCCTTGCCCTCAATGACCTTGAGATTGGCCCGCCACATCTTCACATCGCGGATTTCACTGTAATGGCCGACGTCTTCGCCGTTCAGCGTCTCAATCGCCAGGGTCTGCGTTCTGAAGTCGCCCCAGAACCAGTCTTTGCCCTCCGGGATGCGCTCGTCCGCTTGCCGAGAGTACTTTCGTCCGCTCAGCACGCCGCGCAGATCCCGTCCCAGTGAGAGACTACCGAACAGCAGCCGCATGGCGTCGGGTTCGTAGCACCGGCCGATGACCATCCCCTGGGAGATATCCACCATCTTGCCGCTGTTGAGACTGTACCAGTCACCGTACCCGCTCATGCCGATGTACTGGAAGACGCTGAGGACTTCTTCGGGAGATAGGGGCTTCGGCGGGTGCATGGTATTGTCTATCGCCGCTCGCTGGCGGTTATTCGTGTAGATCTTGCCTCCAATGCGAACCTGATATCTCTCTGCGAGCTGGTCTGACTTGATGTCGTCAATGCATTGGACTAGGTCGAGCCGGATCTCGTCGATCACCATGACGTCCGTCACAACTGCCTTTTGGCCGCCATCGAGCGAATAGCCCACCGGTTTCAGGCGAACGGCGTCTCCTACAATGAGAAGTTCCGCGCCAATGAATATGCCCATACAGTAGATGGACGCATTCGGCCACCTTCCTCTGAAGTGAAATTTCTCAAGCAGGCTGAAAGACGACATAACGGTCATGGCGTACTCGATTGAAGGGTGCAATTCGTCCCGGGGGATATTCTGCAAAAAGAGCTCGAACGCATTGAATGGCTTGATGCATTTCAAGTGAACGTACTTGTACTGCAGTGAGTAGCTCTTGTCCGGACTGTTGGGATCGGGGAATGTTTCGACACGGAATCCAGAATAATTCACTTCCCACCCCTTATTAGCCGTCTCGACTAGATCCTGCAGCACCGTGTCTTCCTCTGGGACTTGGCCGACGATGCCCGCTCGCCACTCAGGAGCGCTCATGAAACGATCAACGGCCGGGTCGTATATCTCAATGCGTGCGTGTTGTGGGTTCCAGGCCAACTCGCCCTCAAAGTTAGGAACCCAGAGGACAATTTCGCCAGCGCGAGGAACATAGGAAGGTTGCATTATTAGTTTTTGCAGATACTCCCCAAGGCCAGGTCTTTCAGACTTCCAGTCCATACTTAAAGGTTCTGAGATGGACTCGTCTAAGTCGCCCCAATCCTTGAGTTTCATTATGGCCATCTTGAAGACGTCTGGCGTCCCTTCCCGGTCAACAATAGGGTTCAACGGCGGTCTTCCAGGCGGCCGCCCGGGTCGACCGAGCGGCCTTCCAGGAGGTCGGCCAGGTGGTCTCCCTGGCGGTCTACCAGGTTTACCGGAACCAGGAGACTTGAATGACCCGGTTGGTCTCCCTGGACCTCTTACGGGCATGCCATCTAGAAGACAGTGTCAGTTCTGACAGCACTTGCGAGCAACACAGCGAGGAAACAACCTTTGATGCGCTGATTCCTCCTTGCCAATTTCTCGCAAAGACCGCAGGGGCACGGTTCTTTCCCGCCCTTCATCAGGTATAGAAAGTGAGGAAAGAACTGGATTGTAGAGGAGAAGTACTGCCCAAGCGGGTGTCCCCAGAGGAACCGATCACGCTGTGCCGTCGGTCAGTATCTAGCTCTGAAATAAAACGTCTTCAAGAGCAGAACTTACGATATCTGGATTTGTCCCACGCGGTCTGTCAAAGACGGCATAGCCTTCTGGCAAACTGTCTATGACATAGTTTGCTCCTTGGTTCTTGGTTAGTGAAACTCTTTAGACTCTATTAGATATGAAGTACAAAAGAGCAAACAAATAAGACACCTCGCGAATGGGTATGAGTGTTGACAGAATTCCTACAATGAAACCAATTGACTGCTAGCGGCCCGTCCATATCTGACCAAGAAATTGAACGAAATGTTGACACAAACTGTAGTTCATGAAGTTGAATGTAGGAAAGCAAGCATTGAATCCTCTGAATACTCCAACAAGTACTCCTGTAACACCAGAAGCGGACAACGTAGAACTTTGAGCGCAATATAGAAGAAATACCAAAAATAACCCCTTAACGGAAATAATGCAAGTCAAGAATTCAAAATCAGTACATACCCTCTTCATAAGCCCCCGTCTCCTTCAGCCACATGATGGCCACCTTCTCGCGATACCATGTATCGTCCGGCATCCCGAATCGGGGCTCTGTGGGCCAAGTAGACGTGTCGCCATCACTGAATGACCGGTCAATGGGAATAACGATTGCATCTCCGTCCTCTTCTGAGGCTTGCGGGTGCTGATAAGCTGACATGACTGTGCCGATGGTTTTATAGACTAAGAAAGTAATTTAGATGGTCAAGAGGTTGAGTTGCGGGAAGCAGGAGCTAAGAGGATGATCTTGACATGTTGGGAGTGAAAGAAATGAGGTTCTTCTGCACTTCACTTTCTAGGCAGATTTGATGAAAAAGTGAAAGGTGCTATGACATTTACTTGGGTTTTTTTTTCTGGTGTCTGGAAACTCGTGCAATTGTTGTTGGATTAGAAAAGGAGACTCGATAGTGAAGAGAGTGTCAGTCATGTGACCAAACGGTATTTATGAGGTATGGAAAAGACTTCCATGGGTGCCCGAGATTCAATGAAAGAAACTGAGTACCCATACTCCAATTCCAAAAAAGAAAAGAAAAGAAAAGTTGTCATAAGACTGCATTCATAGGTAGCACACGCCTATATCGTCGGATTTTGACGGGTCTAGATCCATACGTAGATACAATATTGAGCTCCTCATAATCTGTAACCTGAATACACCACTCGCGTGGTATCCCTTGCAAGAATCACCTATTCTTGTTGATTGTCGATGCTCGCCTCTTCCGTTCCTTCCTTCGATACTTCGGCCTCAGCTTCTTTGTTCCTCAGTTCGTACGGTGGTGGAGCAAGCTCTCCCTCCTCGACCCAGACCTTACGCAGCTCCTTTTCAATCTCTTCACGGCGTTGCTTCCACTCGTCAACCTTGTCCAATCGCTTGCGAAGCTCTTGGATCTCCTTCTCAACACCCAGCTTCTCCTTCTCCGTGCCGATTTTCTCAAACTCCCACTGTTCCCCTTCCGCGCCTAGACCCAGTGTGAGGCTAAAGGTGTGATACTTCTTTAAGGACGCGCGTGTCGAAATCGTGATCAGCGTGATACCTCTTTCCTTGGCCTGTTCATACAGAACGCCCTCGACGTCGGAGGAAACGGCCGAGGTTCCTTCATCGAGGAACGCATAGCGAGGCTCATGGTAGAACAATCTCGCCATGGCCATGCGTTGCTTCTCGCCACCGCTGAGGACGTCCTTCCACTCTTTGCGAGCATTCCACCCACCTTCACGCGCAGGCAGGTATCCCAGACGAGCATCTTCCAAGATCTTCTGAAGTTCAGCATCTGTTCTACCCGCCTCGCGCATGTCAATCTCGGTATGAGGATAAATGACTTGATCGCGCAAAGTCCCCACGCTGAGATAGGGCCGCTGAGGGAGGAACATGACGCCGTCAAGCCCAAATCCTCGGGGCCGACTGACTAGGCCACGGTAGACAGGCCACAGACCCGCAACAATCCGAGAAATCGCCGATTTACCTACTCCGTTCGGTCCTGAAATAAGAAGGTGCTCACCGGAGTGCACGATAAAGGACAGCGATTCAATCAACTCATCTCCGCCCCGAGGATAAAGAGCTGGTGCGACAATTGGCACTTGCTCCAGCCGCACTCCGTCGAATCCGTTGTGGATGGTTCCCTGTACATCTGCCAGCGAGTACAGTTCCGCATGAGAGCCACGTGGAGGGTAGTAGATATTTGCATGAACTCGGTGAAGTGTTGAGATCAGGGTATAAACCCGCGACGTGTAGCCGGCCAACTCCGAAATGTCCTTGATGCTGTACATCATGCGGCCACCAGCATCAGCCAATGAAAGCATCAAACGCTTGTTTGTGATAAACTCCTTCATGCGGCCCCGTTCGCGACCAGTCTCTTTGGAGGTATCTGCCAGCTCCAAAGCACCGCCTGCACCTCCCCACGCGGGAAGGAAGACCGGCAAAGACGTGATTAGATACCCGAAAGCCGACCAGGCGTATTTCAGGATGACGTCCTCAAGCATGTTGTAGCGGATCTTGAGGCTATAGATACCTTCCATCCACCGCTGCAGATCTTTGAAGCTCCGAAGAAGAAATACTCGCTCGATATCTGCGCCACCGTAGAACGAGATCTCCTCGGCATTGGCAAGCAACCTGGAATGCAGACCTCTAAAGTCTCCTTCCTTTTTGCCCTCGACAGCCTTGAGCTTTCCAAAAGGCGGAGACAGCTTGCGAAGTACCACCGCCGTGCTGAAATAACCGGCAAGGATGCCACTGAGAGCCAGAGGTCCTAGGGAGCAGTATAGCTGGTAGTTGAAGACGAACAAATCCACTAGTGGCTTTCCCATCGAAGAGTAAAGTGCTGCAGCTG